TCACTGAGCCATAGATTCTTGTTTGAAGGCACACTGTGCACATCCACAGTTACGGCTAGTGTGGAGCTGTGATGGGTAAAGCTCCTGAAACACTGGGGCATGTGCTTATGTGACATGAACTTTGGTTTTGGTGAATAAAACTATCATTTCTCATAGCATCAGTGTATATTTACATTTATAAGAATCTACCAAATAGTTTTCCTAAGTGATTTTACAGTTTTACACTCCACCAGTGATGTACAAAAATTCAAATCACTCCACATAGTGATCAGTACATTTGTATTAAGTGGATGTAAAATTGAATCTTATGTGGTTTTAATTTTCCTGATGATTAATAATGTCAAGAACTTTTTCATGTGCTTACATAATTTATATGACTTTATTTTTAAGTGATTTTCACCCACTTTTGTCTTTCAATTATTATTTGGTAATAGGCTTTAGAATAATATATTCATTTTCAAATATATGTGTTGCAAATATTTTCTGGTAATCCCTGTCTTTCCTTTGAATTTTTTAACTCTGTCCATTGATGAGCAGGACGTGGTACGTTTGCTGGCATCTAGTCTGTCAAGTGCCTTCAGTGCTCTCTACCTTCATCTACCTCAGGGCTGTTGAAGATATTTTCCTGGGTCGTCTTCTGGAAGCTTTGTACTTTCATCTTTTGTGTTTAGTTCTGAAATCTATCAAGAAGCAATGTCTGTGTATTGTGTGAGGTAAGGATTGAGATAATTGTTTAACATCTATTTATCCAGTTGCTCCAGCCCAGTTCTTTTCCCATTGAACTACTGTAGTGCCTTTGTCAGGAATCAGTCAAGCAACCACATGTGTGAGGACTGATTTCTGACCTCGGTCTGGATTACTCCAGCTTTCTAAGGGTCCTCAAGTCAGATGGTAAATCCTCTAATTTTCTTTTCTTTTTTATTATATCAAGCACATAATGATTTTTACACTTCCTTAAGAATTTTAGAATCAGATTGCTGGTTTCTACGAAGAAGTGTGTTGGAAGTTCAATAGGGATTTTCTGGTACATCTCTTTAGATCCCTTTTAGTTTCCCATAGAAATGAATTGTGGGAGGCACTGGGAGATTTTCAGAACTCTCCCTGATGGTTGGAATGTAAGAACAAGATTGTTGTTAATTGTCATCCAGCCAGCTCCCACTCATGGCACGTCGTGTAC